CAGGGGCCTGATGACTGCAGTTTTCAGGGCCTTTGGGAATATTCCAGAATGAAGGGACATGTTTACTATCTGTGTGAGTGAAGGTAACAGACTGCTCAGAACAGACTTCAGAAATCTAGTGGGTAGTACATCCAGGCTGCATGTGGAGGAGCTCAGACTGGAGATTATCTCTTGGACAGTTTTATCATTTACAGGTGCAAAGTAAGTTAGCTCAGAGGAGGTCTGACCTACAGTGAGGAGGTCTGACCCACAGTGAGGAGGTCTGACACACAGTGAGGAGGTCTGACCCACAGTGAGGAGGTCTGACTCACAGTGAGGAGGTCTGACCTACAGTGAGGAGGTCTGACCCACAGTGAGGAGGTCTGACCCACATTGAGGAGGTCTGACTCACAGTGAGGAGGTCTGACCTACAGAGAGGAGGACTGACTCACAGTGAGGAGGTCTGACACACAGAGAGGAGGTCTGACTCACAGTGAGGAGGTCTGACCTACAGTGAGGAGGTCTGACCCACAGTGAGGAGGTCTGACCTACAGTGAGGAGGTCTGACCCACAGTGAGGAGGTCTGACTCACAGTGAGGAGGTCTGACCTACAGTGAGGAGGTCTGACCCACAGAGAGGAGGTCTGACCCACAGTGATGAGGTCTGACCCACAGTGAGGAGGTCTGACCCACAGTGAGGAGGTCTGACCTACAGTGAGGAGGTCTGACCCACAGTGAGGAGGTCTGACCTACAGTGAGGAGGTCTGACCTACAGTGAGGAGGTCTGACACACAGAGAGGAGGTCTGACCCACAGTGATGAGGTCTGACCCACAGTGAGGAGGTCTGACCCACAGTGAGGAGGTCTGACCTACAGTGAGGAGGTCTGACCTACATTAAGGAGGTCTGACCTACAAGATGAGGAGGTCTGATGAGGAGGTCTGACCCACAGTGAGGAGGTCTGACTCACAGAGAGGAGGTCTGACCCACAGAGAGGAGGTCTGACCCACAGTGAGGAGGTCTGACCTACAGTGAGGAGGTCTGACCCACAGTGAGGAGGTCTGACCCACAGTGAGGAGGTCTGACTCACAGAGAGGAGGTCTGACCCACAGAGAGGAGGTCTGACTCACAGTGAGGAGGTCTGACCCACAGTGAGGAGGTCTGACACACATTGAGGAGGTCTGACCTACAGTGAGGAGGTCTGACACACAGAGAGGAGGTCTGACACACATTGAGGAGGTCTGACCCACAGTGAGGAGGTCTGACTCACAGTGAGGAGGTCTGACCTACAGTGAGGAGGTCTGACCCACAGTGAGGAGGTCTGACCCACAGTGAGGAGGTCTGACCCACAGTGAGGAGGTCTGACTCACAGTGAGGAGGTCTGACCCACAGTGAGGAGGTCTGACCCACAGTGAGGAGGTCTGACCCACAGTGAGGAGGTCTGACCCACAGTGAGGAGGTCTGACCCACAGTGAGGAGGTCTGACCCACAGAGAGGAGGTCTGACTCACAGAGAGGAGGTCTGACCTACAGTGAGGAGGTCTGACACACAGAGAGGAGGTCTGACCCACAGTGAGGAGGTCTGACCCACAGAGAGGAGGTCTGACCCACAGTGAGGAGGTCTGACCTACAGTGAGGAGGTCTGACCCACAGTGAGGAGGTCTGACCTACAGTGAGGAGGTCTGACCCACAGTGAGGAGGTCTGACCCACAGTGAGGAGGTCTGACCTACAGTGAGGAGGTGTGACCCACAGAGAGGAGGTCTGACCCACAGTGAGGAGGTCTGACCCACAGTGAGGAGGTCTGACCCACAGTGAGGAGGTCTGACTCACAGAGAGGAGGTCTGACCCACAGTGAGGAGGTCTGACCCACAGTGAGGTCTGACCCACAGTGAGGAGGTCTGACCCACAGAGAGGAGGTCTGACCCACAGTGAGGAGGTCTGACCTACAGTGAGGAGGTCTGACCCACAGTGAGGAGGTCTGACCTACAGTGAGGAGGTCTGACCTACAGTGAGGAGGTCTGACCCACAGTGAGGAGGTCTGACTCACAGAGAGGAGGTCTGACCCACAGTGAGGTCTGACCCACAGTGAGGAGGTCTGACCCACAGAGAGGAGGTCTGACCCACAGTGAGGAGGTCTGACCTACAGTGAGGAGGTCTGACCCACAGTGAGGAGGTCTGACCTACATTAAGGAGGTCTGACCTACAGTGAGGAGGTCTGACCCACATTGAGGAGGTCTGACCTACATTGAGGAGGTCTGACCTACAGTGAGGGGGTCTGACTCACAGAGAGGAGGTCTGACCTACAGTGAGGAGGTCTGACACACATTGAGGAGGTCTGACCCACAGTGAGGAGGTCTGACCCACAGTGAGGAGGTCTGACCCACAGTGAGGAGGTCTGACCTACAGTGAGGAGGTCTGACCCACAGAGAGGAGGTCTGACCTACAGTGAGGAGGTCTGACACACATTGAGGAGGTCTGACCCACAGTGAGGAGGTCTGACCCACCACAGTGAGGAGGTCTGACCCACAGTGAGGAGGTCTGACCTACAGTGAGGAGGTCTGACACACAGAGAGGAGGTCTGACACACAGAGAGGAGGTCTGACCCACAGTGAGGAGGTCTGACTCACAGAGAGGAGGTCTGACCCACAGTGAGGAGGTCTGACCCACAGTGAGGAGGTCTGACACACATTGAGGAGGTCTGACCCACAGTGAGGAGGTCTGACCCACAGTGAGGAGGTCTGACCCACAGTGAGGAGGTCTGACCTACAGTGAGGAGGTCTGACCCACAGTGAGGAGGTCTGACCCACAGTGAGGAGGTCTGACCTACAGTGAGGAGGTGTGACCCACAGAGAGGAGGTCTGACCTACAGTGAGGAGGTCTGACCTACAGTGAGGAGGTCTGACCCACAGTGAGGAGGTCTGACACACATTGAGGAGGTCTGACCCACAGTGAGGAGGTCTGACCCACAGTGAGGAGGTCTGACCCACAGTGAGGAGGTCTGACCTACAGTGATGAGGTCTGACCTACAGTGAGGGGGTCTGACCTACAGTGAGGAGGTCTGACCTACAGTGAGGAGGTCTGACCTATAGTGAGGAGGTCTGACCCACAGTGAGGAGGTCTGACCCACAGTGAGGAGGTCTGACCTACAGTGAGGAGGTCTGACCTACAGTGAGGAGGTCTGACCTACAGTGAGGAGGTCTGACCTACAGTGAGGAGGTCTGACCTACAGTGAGGAGGTCTGACCTACAGTGAGGAGGTCTGACCTACAGTGAGGAGGTCTGACCTACAGTGAGGGGGTCTGACCTACAGTGAGGAGGTCTGACCTACAGTGAGGGGGTCTGACCTACAGTGAGGGGGTCTGACCTACAGTGAGGAGGTCTGACCTACAGTGGGGAGGTTTTAAGGTTTTTGTTCTACTTAATAAGGTTTTTAAGGTTTTTATTCTACTTAATAAGGATGATCATGTGGGATTTGAACCCAGAACTGTCAACTCGTGGCCCCCACGTAAAATGAAAATTAATTGGTTATTGAAAATTAGGTGAGTTCATTTAACGAATGCGCTATTGTTGTTTGTGTGTAAATGCTTATCTAAAAGCATTACTGTGCATTACTATTAACAGTTAGCTAACTTGTAATAATCTGGCAAATTCCAGAAAGTGTCCCACAAGCTCCACTTTGCAAATTATTTTTTAGCAAACGTGTAATCCATACACTTCAGACAGACATCTTGTTCCTGAGCTGGACCAGGAGCTCTCTGCAGTCCGTTTGGGGGAGTCAGTATGTTGTAAAGGTTAAAGAAGTTCACACACGGTTCTAGTGCAGCTTGTACAGCCGAACACACAACACGCTCTTCCAGGCATTATAGAAGAAGTGACAATTCCATGGACAGCCACGGGACAAACAGCTTCACAGCTACTTCCAGTAGGATGGCATAGGATGGATGGATAGTAATGGCAGCACCGCTTGACTATCACGTTTAGCCGGGTCAGTCTGCACGAGGCGATTGCTTTCGTCTCGCTGTCTGTGGCCCTCCCCCTTCATTTGCATTTATTTTTTTAAGACACGAGGAAAGAATAATGTGTCGTGAAATAATAAAACAGAACATCAATAAAAAAGGAAATAAATGAAGATACGAAGAAAATAAATATATGCAAGAAGAAAATAAAGAGGATTAGTTTTTTATTTGGGGGAACTCAACCCCGACATCTTGAAAACCCGGCTGCTGTGCTATAATACGTCTTCCTCACTCCAAATAAAAAGGAATCGCACAAAAAGCCCCAAAATTCCACGTCCTGGTTTCTCGACAAGGTCCACACGTTACTCTCTTTAGGCTGAAGAAAGAATTCAAAGGCAGCATGACGGCACACCACGGAACGAGAAGGCTCTTGATTTGTGATTTATGTCTGTGGAAATCCTGGAAATAACTGGTTAGCTACGTATCCGGTTGGCCCAAAGCTCTCACTGAAATATATTTACTCGTGTAAAAGTTTGATTGTCTTTTGTACACATTGAGCTAGGTACATTTAGAAAAAACGTCCTTCCTGTGCTAGTGTGCTATCTTGCTCTTTCGCGTGTTGCGTATTTATTTGTTTGAGAATCCCTTTTGTCACAAGCTGGCTCTATGCTTGTGTCAAAATGAGGGACAGACAGGTAGGGTCATTTGACATATTTATTGTAAATAATGAAAACGATGAACAAAGGATAATAATCAACAAGAATGAGGTGTGAGTATATGAGCAGTGGAATGTGTGCAGTGTGTGCAAGTCAGTGAATGAAAACCAGTGTATGTGTGCGTATGTCTGAGTGTGAAAACCAAGCTAATATTAACAAATGACGAAACAAAGAACCAACGATCCCGTACCTGGAGGGAGCAGAGCAGAGACAGAGTGTTAGTGACACACACACATTTAAGCACAGGTGCCCCAATCACTGGATCCACCCTGCCTGAGAGGGAAACGCCCCTGTCAGGCAGGGAGGGGCCGTGACACCCCCCTCCTTAAGATGAGGGTCCACCCTCAATCCAGGCATACGGCTCCAGTCAGTGCCTCTCATCCTTCACCAACTGCCAGCCCCCCCTCTCGGCAACCCTCAGCGACCGTCACAGCCAGCAATGCGGATCTTACAGTGCCGTCAGCGACCTGCCCAGGAGAAGGAGAATGATATGGTTTAAGCAAGTTAACATGATACAGTTTACAGGAACTTCGCTTCCCTGGAGTTTCCACAAGATAGTTTAAATCTGACACTTTACGCAAAACTGAGAAGGGACCTGAATACTTTGCCTGGAATGGAGAATTTACTAGGGGTAACAGCACAAGAACTTTGTCACCCGGAAAAAATTGACGCACAACACTGTCCCTATCATAATTTTGTTTCATTTTCTTTTGAGAAGATTCTAACTTTTCCTTAGCCAATTCACCGGCACGATACAACCTAACCCTGAACCCGTTAACAAAATCGATTACATTTTTTGGAGGGGCATCAGGCAAACAACCATCCTGTAATACACATAAGGGTCCCCTCACGCGATGACCAAAAACCAAGTAATTGGGACTGAAGCCTGTGCTCTCCTGCACCACTTCTCGGGCGGCCAGTAAGAGCCAAGGTAAGCCTTCTTCCCAATCCGACAAAAGCTCTGTACAATAAGCACGAAGCAAAGATTTTAGAGTTTGATGAAAACGTTCCAACGCCCCCTGGCTTTGAGCGTGATAAGGCGTTGACTTGTTATGCTTGATTTTTAACTCTTTCAGAATCTGAGAAAACATGTGGGAGGTAAAGTTGGAACCTCGATCAGACTGAATGACTCTGGGAATACCGAAAACTGATATGAACTGAGTTAGTGCTTTGACTACCGCCCTAGTAGTAATTGTGCGCAAAGGAAATTCTGCAGGATACCTCGTTGCCTGACACATGACAGTCAAAAGGTACTTAATTCCAGATTTTGAGGGTGGTAACGGCCCAACACAATCTATTATAAGATGTTCAAAAGGCTGCCCAATAGCAGGTATTGGGTACAAAGGCGCTGGCTTTATCACTTGATTTGGTTTACCAGTAACTTGACAAGTATGACATGTCCTGATTTACCACATCCCGCTTGAGACACGGCCAGAAAAAATGTCTGAGAATCCTGTCATAAGTTTTACGAACACCTAGATGACCTGCCACGTCACCATGTGACGTACGCAGCACTTTGTCTCGTAATGAAATGGGCACAACAGTTTGAAACACTGGATCCCCCAAACCCTGAACCCTACTTTGAATCCACTTCCTAACCAATAGACCATCTGAAATGAAAGAACATTGAGCACTATCCCTCACTTCAGATTCCGGAACAACCTTGTCATAAAGACCAGACAAAGATGGATCGGACTTTTGCTCAGCTATCAAAACATCCCTAGAAACAGTTAAAGGATCTAACTGGAGTTTAACTGGCCACTCCAGATCCTCTGTCTGCAACTCTACCTCCCCACGACGAGAAGCTGCACGGGTAACTACACAACTAGGGAAAACATCAGAAGCCACTCTATCACAATCTGGACTCTTATCTGCAGAAGAAGTGGGAGGGTCTTTGAAAATGTGAGGGTTGTCATCCGCCCACACTTTACTACCTGCCAGATCATTCCCCATAATCATGTGGACTCCCTCTACTGGCAACTTTGGTCGGACTCCAACCACCACACTTCCCTCCACCAGCCCACAAGTTAACCTGATCCGATGAAGTGGTGAAGAAAATGGAACCAAACCCATACCATTAACCAAAATACAACTGCCCATGTCAGATTGTTTTGAAAATGGCAACACAGACTCTAAAATAAATGAATCTAGAGCCCCCGTATCTCTTAAGATTTTAATTGGGACTTTTTGCTCTCCCTTTACTAGAGATACGGTACCGTCTGAAATAAAAGATGAAAAATCATCTTTAACTGAGGCACCATTAACCAGTTTACAACACTCATCTTGATGCTCAAACACCGAACTTGACTGGACTAGAGGAGCCGCCATAGCTGCAGGCTTCACCTGGCCTGATTTTCTTGCTTTTAGAAGGGGACAATCCTTTTTCCAGTGACCCTCAACAAAACAATATCTACAAGTATTTGCCCCAACTGACCCTTTGGAACTTCCATTACCAGACTCATGCCTATACTTTTGTGAACTAACCGGGGACCTCTGTGTTGGAGACCCAAACTTAGAGTGAAAACCCGTACTCAACTCAAAATTACTTCTGTGGGTCAAAACATAGTCATCCGCTAGCCTTGCTGCTTCACTAGGACCCCTGACGTTACGCTCATTAAGATAGGTGGCCACCTGTACAGGCACAGATTTTTTAAACTGCTCCAACACCATCAAATTGGACAAATCCTGGAACGTAACAACTTCCAACGCAGTACACCACCTATTGAAGGCAACAGTCAAATCACGAACAAACTCTGAATATGTTTGAGAATCCAATTTTTTCCTATAACGAAAACGCTGTTGATAAGCCTCGGGTACAAGCTCATAAACTTTTAACACTGCAGCCTTAACTGTAGCATACACCCGGCTATCAGCTACACTCAGTGATGAAAAAACCTCAAGAGCTTTACCTGTAAGGACACATTGCAACAACGTAGTTTTGTCCACATCAGACCAAGCTCTTGCGTCAGCAATACGTTCAAACAAAGTGAAATAAGTGTCTAAATCAGACTGATCAAACTTTGGCAACAAGCGAAGACTCTGTGCTACATCAAACTGTGGTCCTCTAGCCTCTGCCACAGGCCTGTTCACACTCCTCAGCCTTTCTAAGTCCAACTGCATCAGCAACAGCTCCCTCTGCTGCTCGAAAGTCAACATACTCTGGCTGGCCTGAAAACCTGCCCCTGAAGACTCACTACCAAAAACACCAGCTTCAATAAGACCCTGTTTTAACACAACCTTGACAGTCTCTTTAAGCTTCCTGTCCACAATTCCAATCTTGTAATGCTCTGCTATCTCAAGTAACTGCTCCTTGGTACACAAATCTAAAACCAACTCTGAAGGAGACTGAACAAAATCATCCACGACAGACATTTTTAATCAACTTTTCCACCAATATAAGATCACAACTCACCTGCTGCCGGTCTGGGTTTAGATTAGGAGATCCATCCCCCTATCTCAGGAAAAAACTAACTAGCTGGACCCTAGTCTTCTTGCGGTCTCTTATGATGGGGTGTTATGCACTCGAAACCAGCAGTGTGAATAGAGGTAGAGGCTACCTCCTCACAACTACGGAGGTGCTCCCGAGCCGATGTAGGGGAAAGGGGAAAGGGATGCTCTACCCACGTTCACCGCCTAAAACAGAAGCACCACAAGCCCCCTAATGAGACCTGCTGATAAGCCTACCCGGGGAGGACTCCAATCAAGCACAACCCAGAACATAAGCCCAATGTGAGTTGCTAATCCTACAAACTAATGGAAGCAAAACACTGCTCCTCTCCACACAATAACCAAAACCAATCTATCCCTCAACAAAAGTTTGACAAACTCAACTCACTGAAAGTACAGCCAAATTAACCAATAACTCTGCCAAACTACACAAATGCAACTTCAAAAGACCTGTACCAAAATATTCAACCAATATCCAATGTAACCAATCAGAAAACCAACCTAGAAGTACTGTAGTAACAAACTTTAAGTAGAACCTAAGTATCAAACTTTAGGACGAGCCCCCACTTGTCACAAGCTGGCTCTATGCTTGTGTCAAAATGAGGGACAGACAGGTAGGGTCATTTGACATATTTATTGTAAATAATGAAAACGATGAACAAAGGATAATAATCAACAAGAATGAGGTGTGAGTATATGAGCAGTGGAATGTGTGCAGTGTGTGCAAGTCAGTGAATGAAAACCAGTGTATGTGTGCGTATGTCTGAGTGTGAAAACAAAGCTAATATTAACAAATGACGAAACAAAGAACCAACGATCCCGTACCTGGAGGGAGCAGAGCAGAGACAGAGTGTTAGTGACACACGCACATTTAAGCACAGGTGCCCCAATCACTGGATCCACCCTGCCTGAGAGGGAAACGCCCCTGTCAGGCAGGGAGGGGCCGTGACACTTTCAACAACGACTCGCCCTGTGCTGAATTTTCTATTGAATACTTGCTGTTTGCTTGTCACTTGCCCGGTGTACTGAAAAGGTTTTAGGGACCAGTTCTACAGGGGGTAAGCAGAGTCCACTAGGAGATAATAATCAGCTATCACCAATAATATAATAAATCCATGCACCGCACCAATATTACTGGTTACAAGTTGCGCGTAAATGACGTGGTCTGACAAGCCCTCCCACGCTGAAGAGGTACTATTTTTAATGGAAAAGCACCCACTCTCAGCCGTGCTGTGCCGTACCGTGACTATGGAAAAGCGGCATTAGTTGGGTCAACGTTTGTTTCTCTGACACACTGATAATAGGCAGCGTTGAATCATGGACTGTATATAGATTGCAGTGTTGTCAGTTAAACGCGTTGACAACAGCATTAACAACAGCATTAACAACAGTTCAGTTCAGTCTTTATTTTAACAGGGACCGTGCACAGTAACATTAAAGTGATAGTCTGGAGTTTGTCTCTTCTGACAAACTCCAGACATACCCCCTTCCTTTCTGATTGGTCTTGAAGCCGCTCCTACTTTTCCGTACACGCACCAGATCAATGGGCCAAGACGTGCGGAGGACGTCAAATTAATGAAACATAGGGTTGATACGATCACAGATTTATTAAAAACAAAAATAAAGTGCAAAACCAACAATTTACAAAGTACGTCTCTTGAGACCAGGTCCAGATGAGGGGAAAGTTAAGTACTCCGGTCACTCATTGTTAGTTTGTAATCTCTGAGGGCTGAGAATTAATAAAGGACCGATCATCGGCAGCGAGAATGACACATTCTGTGATAGATGGAGTGAAATCTTAAATGCTCTTTTGACTTGATGGCATTGACTGTCCAAGAGGTCTCGGGGAATCTCGCGAGAACCCGAGAAGGAATTTTGGAAGTGAAACTCACAAGAGAACTCACCGACTCTGCCAAGCTGCAGCACCTCCTCTCTGAATGTGAGCGACAGCAAAATGAACTCCACAAAGAAATCGTGGCATCAAAGAAAAATAAATTTGACAGAGATGCAGCAGACTACTGCAGCAGTCTGATCTACCAATGGAGGAACCGC